GCTCTGTGCATGCGTACACTGGGAACAGGCTCTAGCTGCTCTTCTGCCTCACTGATGTCCGATTCCAAAGGCAGCTGATAACTGTCGGACGACCCTGGCCCCATCTCTGCCTCCGACTCAGAGCCCTCGTCAGAGCCTTCCCCAGACTCCAGGACTGGCCATGTTCCTCCCCAACCTCCTCACTGACCAAGTCTGCTGCCAGCTCCACTGGCTGCTGACGGGCCACAACAGCAACAGATAAATAGAAAAAAGTTCCATATTTATCATCTTTCAGCATGATATCGTTTTTTTTGCCTGAAGAAGAATGTATTAAAAAACTGATTCATGAAGAGACAATAATTCATGTAGGTTGCAAGAAAATTATTAATCAGAAAAAGATGAAATCCTTCAAGAGTCTCTCTTCAAAATAGTGAGAGCTAAATACATTTCAGTATCTACAACAGTTGCAGTCCAAAATTAATTACGAAAACAAAGTGGCATTCTAAGAGATCTTGTTAAGTTTGAAATATTTATCACAGAAAAATGCAGATAATTTATCGGGGACAATTTGTATGCTGCGATTAAAGTCTGGTTCAAAAAGTTAAGAAGTAAAATACTACAGTATATGATTAAATAGATGCAGAATTTAAATAGAACATCTGAGTCGACTATGGGCTACCAATGGCGAAATGGCAAACTCACAATAAACATTACATTTAGAGAAATCCAGTAAGAGAATTCGTACTATTGGTGTAAAACCAATATTGACTGTGAAAAAAGACCATTTCTTTTCTAAAAATGTTAAAAATTAAAAAGCATTTCCCCCCCTCCCCCCCCCCCCCATTTTTGGTGGCCGTATTCCAAAGTTGAGCAATTTTGGAAAATAATTTATTAAAGGATAAAACAAATCGAAAGTAGATTTCTCTTTTTTTAATTTTCTTATTAAATATTTCTAAACTTCCTATTCCTTCAAACTACATAGAACTGGCTTTGTACACAGAAATAGCTGCTGTGATTCTTTATGTCAGTGGGCCCCAACCTTTTGCGCACCTGGGACAGTTCCATGGAGGTTTTCCCGTGGGCCAGAGGGGGCGTGGTTTCGTGTACTGCCTGCATCCCTTGGAAGTGGTTTCACTGACATGTTTCTCCGAAAATAAGACCCGGTCTTATATTTAAATAAGCACTAGGGCTTATTTTCAGTGAAACACAATTTCAGAGTGATCGGCTCAGCTAGGCGCACCCGCCCCAGCATACGCACAAGAGGCAGCAAGTGCATGCAGACCGATGGTATTCGGCAGCCGCCGAATCCCTTCGTTGGCGCACTCTGGGTTTGTGCGGCCAGTGCAGTGCAGGTAAGTTGATTCCCTTTCCAAGCAGCAGACGGAGGCAGACGCGCAGAGGCGATCTGGACACGCCACGTGGGCCGTGGGAAAGCCGAGAGTTGGTGGGCGGGAGTGGTGGCCAGCCATGGGAGGCTCACCTTCGCACAGTGGCACTGGCAGCAGATGGAGGCAGAGATGCAGGGCAGAAGGCAGGCAACCCCGACATGCCAGGCAGGCCGCAGGCAACTGAGCGATGGGAAGATGAGTCTCCCGCTGCTGGTTGGCCACTCCGGTCCACGGTCTCTTAGCTTTCCCTCGTCCCACATGGTGCACGTGGATCACCTGCCTCTGCCTCTGTCTGCTGCTTTATGCCTTCCGTTAGACATTACAAATAACCCTGACTGCAAGATGACAAATAAGTTATAGGAGTATAGCCCAATGTCAAAACTAACTTTACATTTGAAAAACAATTTGGATATAGTTTTAAATTCGATGTGATGGGGGTGTCACATTCAAAGTTCTTTATTTTCTATAATTTTAGATTTTAATATTCAACTTTTAATTTGTTCCCCCCAGCTTTCTTCTAGATTAGGAACACATTGTTGCTGTGATGAACCAGGGCATGGCACAAAGGCAACACAGTCAAATAAGCAATGGGAGTCCCTTTGTTATCTCCAACTTTGCCCCCAATGTCCAAGTTACCTTCGGCTGGAGAAAAACTCTCCCAGGAACAGCCTTTAACTGTAGACAATTCAGTCCAAAACAAGGTACGTGCAAACTGTAACTAAAACTCCAAACAAACCAAGCTGAAGTAATTAGCTTGACAGGGCAGGAGAAGGAATTTCAGACTTGAAAACACAGTAAAACTCACACAGTTGGGAAGAACACAGATAAGCCACAACAATACAAGATAAATTCACATTTGCTCCCAACAGCTTGCTGCACACAACTTCCCTTTTTATACACTGTGCTCCCAGCTGCAGCTAATGAAGGGAATCAGGGCCTTTTCCTCCCCTGTAAGCCATGCAACTCACATTGCTCCCTTCTCCGTTCCTCCCTGCGTGCCCTAGGATGAAGAGGGGGTGGGCCTGGGTCTTCCTCTGAATTCCCTCTCCCTTGCTCTATCTCTCCCCTGCCCTGCCCAGCTGGACTTTGCCCTTCCCCAGTTTCTTCCACAGCCAATGGAGCCACACTCCCACTCCCTATCAGCTATTCGACTTCCCCTTCTGAGTCAGATTCTGACAGGGGCATGACAGTTACATTTTTTAAAGACGTTGCTGATATTGCTAATATTTGTCACAGTTAATTATTGCATAACATTCTAATTTTAAGGCTTATTCCTTCAAACTTTCCAACTGATTTGAATTCAGGTAGACCTGGAATTGCAACAAGTTGCTTAACGACTATTCATCCCCCAAAGGCACTTATAACATTCCAAAGGTCCAATGACTGCCCTTCTACCCGGTCACATGACCTTTCGGGTGGTTGGCAATTGGCCTGGATTTATGGCTGTCTGCAGCATCCTGTGGTCATGTGACCATTTAAAACCGACATTTAAGGGTTTTTTTGCCAAAAACTGGGACCTCCTTCTGGTTTCCAAAAAAACCCAATGTGTTGGCTTAATGACCGCAATATTCACTTAGCAACCACCCCACAAAAAAGCTTGCAAAATCAGGTTGGTCACATGATGACCCGCCTTATGACCCACCATAATTTTATGGTTGTAATTGTCAGGCTCTATTACACTCCTAAATCAAGGACTACCTGTAGGCAGGTTTTTTTATCACTGTTACTTTGATATTTTATAGCGTACTTTATTATGCCTGCCTCCATACCTTTTATTTTATTTTTCATTTTTCTTATCTCTTCCCTATTTTTTTCTCTGGCCGCATCTGTGAAATTCATCACAGGCAAATTATAATGTTTTACTTTTTTTATTTTTCTCAGGTCTTTTAATCCCCTATATTTCCATAGCTGTGACCTATTTTAAATTTAGTCTTATTTTTATTATACTTTCTATAATACTTACTGTTTTAGCCACTGCCGTTTAACTGACTGCTTTATTATGCTCCTTTTGCTTTGATTTATACAGATTTGTGTTTGTGTTTTTACTGTACATTGTTCTGAGCACCATTAACTAGAAGAACAAATAACGTCTTTAAAAGAAGGTTATGGGAGATCTATCTTTGCAATGCAGAACTTTCTCAGGTATCAGTAGCTGGTTAAGCCAGTCAAGATTTTATTTCTAAATCCTTTAAAATATTTAGCACTTACTAGCTGAAGATACCATCAGCAGAAACCATGCTTAAAGTGCAGAATCTTCTTTTATCACCCCGGCAAAACTGCTTTTTTTTTTTTGGAAGTCCTATATATGAATTTCCAGCTCTTCATGGGATTTATGTATTAAACTCCATGTTCATAACTGAGTTTTGCTTATGGGAAATATCAAAATGTCAACCATTGTTTCTGTTAAAGGTCTTAACGATATCACCGTTTTTGGACCAGTAATGAAACACGTCGTTTGCTGTCGTTTGTAATGCATCTCATTAAATACGTTAATAGCATACGTTTTACTAAAAGGTCAGGCTTACTGTTGCTGGGGCTTTGCCTTTTAAACCAAAAAAAAGGGACGAGGAAAAAAAAAAAAAGCCTTGGTTTAAAAGAAGTAGCAAGCTGTGCAGCACAAAATGTATCACCTGATGTGGTATTTTTCAAACACCGAGGAGCGGTTTCAGTTACGGGCAGTCCTCAACTTACAACCATTCGTTTAGTGACTGTTAGAAGTTTACAATAGCACTGAAAAAAGTGACTTATGGCTGTCAGGATTCCGGCCGTTACCCCATTTAAATCATGAGTCTCGAGCCAAACTTCCAAAACTTAAAAAGGATTTATTGGGAGGTAAAATGTCCGGCACTGCCTGGGTGTAGCTGACTCTGAGGCACATCATTCATTGTCACCCTTGACCCTGGTTTTCCACCCACTCCCTGAGTATATCGTAATTCATATTCTCCAATGGGACCCATCCATAGCCCAGAGTCATCAATCATGCTCTCCAGTTAGAATTTTGCACGGCAGAAACTTCGGTCACCTAGTTACTATCTTTGAAAACAATTATGGAATGCAGTTTCGGTTTGCAAGCTGCCGCATTGCTCCCCCCTCCCTTTCTGTTGGCAACTCTAAAAAGACCAGAGAAATATTTTAGGAGTTGACAATGACTGCTTTTCACTCTTACGACCATTGTAAACATCCCCGTGATCACGTGAGCAAAATCCAGAACTCTTCCCATTGACTTTGCTTGTTCAGAAGGTTGCAAAAGTGATCACATGACCCCTGGAACGGTCATAAGTATGCGCCAGTTGCCAAGCATAAGGATGCTGCAACGGTCATGCGTGTGGAAAATGGTCAAAAGTCATTTTTTTTTCCAGTGCCGTTCTAATTTCAAATGGTCACTAAATGAATGACCGTAAGTCAAGGACTACCTGTGTATAGACTAAGCAGATCTAGAAGTGGGCGTTTCGTTTTGTGTGATTTAATATGCTGAGATGAATGGAGCAGCCAGTTTTTCTTATTTCTCTCTTAAGTTGGTAAAATGCCCACGGGTCTGTAAGAAAACTCACAATGCATTATCAACAACTGTCACCAATTATTGATTATTGCTATGAATGATATAAAAACACATAATCGCAGATAGATTCTTACTGTTCTTGAGCACGTTAGAATATTCCTGCCCTCCTTTTTTCTTGAATTCAGGGAAGGTATCCGGCTGGGGAAGTTGGTTGGCTATTAAGAGGGCCTTCTGCAGCTTGATTCGGCTTTCCAGGAGTTGATCCCACAGGGCTTTTGGGAGAAATAAAGAAGCGGGGAGGATGAGAGGAGGGAGAGAGGAACACAAAATTTTAGCCATCATTCATTTGTTGTAGCTGTAATTTTAAACAGAGCAGATGCCTCGCAGAGTGGGGATTCCAAAATTTCCAATTGTTTTTTTTTTCTTTCTTGTCTTATCTAAATCCCTTGGAGGGGAAAAGCAGAAACTGCCTTTCCGTGTGCGGTAGCCCTTTTTATCCAAGCCAAGCCAAAAATACAAAAAGCTTAGCTTCCCTTCCATTTCTCTTCCACTCCATCCCCATGTATTTAAAACGATTAGGCGAATTTCCCTCCCGAGAGGCCGTTGAAACAACGAAAGCCGTATCAGAACAAAAAGGGAAGGCAAGTAAAATAAAAATGAAAAAAAAATAAAAAAAAGGCAGGAAAAAAAAAAAAAGCAAGCCGCAAACAAATCTTCTACAAAAATCTCCTCAGAAATGTTAATGGAATACAATCTTCATCCTATCCTAGCGTTGTTGTAGGTCGTCCTCAACGTACGACCAGAGCTCAACATTTCTGCTAAACAAAGCAGCTGTTAAATGCATTTTGCCCCGTTTTACGACCTTTTTTTTGCCACCGTTTTAGCAAACCACTTATTCAGTGAATCACGTGGTAAGCGAATCTGGCTGGGAAGGTTGCAAATGGTCAGCTTCCCTTGACTGCAAAGGAGCCGTGAAGGGGTAGATCCAACAGCAACCGGATCTTCTTGATCGCTGCCTTAAGACATTATTTTTTCAGCCTCCCCCCCATGGCAGAGATTAATCTCTGGATGGGCTGGTAAAAAAAAAAAAAGAGAGAGATCTTGCTTTATGTCAGCTGCGCCTCCATTCAAAATCCAAGAAAGAAAACCCGAGACGCCATTAAAAGAGAGAAAAGTACTTTTACTGGGTTTGAAGGGATGGCAACAAAAGGAAAGTAGGATCTGAGGAAAATAGAAGCGGAAATTACACATCAAAAGTTATCCCAAGTTCCCTCCCCAAGGAGTTCAGACTGGTCATCCAATCTGAGGTGTGTATAATGCCATGTACGTCTTCAGGTGGCGTCTCACACATCTGGTAGGCCAAGAAAGTTGACCTTGGCCTAGAAAAGATAAGTGTATGCCATTGCACAGTAAGCAGGAAAGCGTCCCATCCGTTTCAGTTCACACATCCTCCATTCCAGCACCTTCCCCCGCCCCCCAAAAAACACCAAATTACCCCTCCCCTCCGTTTCCATGGCAGCCAGCAAGAGTCGAACAGCAAAAGATGTCAGGAAAACTTCTTGGAAGCTGACACCACCAGAAAATCCCACAATTGTAGATCGGACTGCCATCACTGGAGGCTTTCAAGAAGAAACTGGACTGACATTTGTCAGAAATTGTATAGGTTCTCCCGCTTGGGCGGAGGGGTTGGACTAGATGACCTATAAGGACCCTTCCAACTCTGATTTTCTGTATCTGTATCTGGACTGGGCAGTCAGAAAATCTTATGCCAATTGCTGCCAAGAAAAGGGCATGACTATGAAATCTTCAGGAGTGGGACTTGAATTCAAAGAGACATCAATTTTGTCTCTTGCAGCTGTTCACAGTTTAACAGCCACATTTTAGCCTCTCTTTGAGGAAGACGGGCGGTTCAGAAGTGTAAAAAATAAATTAAAAAATAAATAAATTAAAAAGTTGTCTTGCAGCATTATTTGTGCACCTCACCCCCAGCAATGACCGCTCAAGTTAATTCTTAAACCCTTGACTTCTGGTTGTCCCTGACTTATGGACCGCAATTGAGTCCAAAACTCCTCTTGCAAAGTGAGATGGTTGTTAAGTGAATTTTGCCTCATTTTACCAAAACCTTTCTTCCCACAGTTAAGGGACTCACTGCAGTTGATAAATTAATAACACAATTGTTAGGTAAATCTGGCTTCCCCGTTGACTTTGCTTGGCAGAGGGTTGCAAAAGGTGATCACATGACCCCGGAATACTGCAACCGTCATAAATACATGCCAGTTGCCAAGTGTCCGAATTCTGATCGCTTGATAATGGGGAAGCTGTGATGGTTTTAAGTGTGAAAACTGGTCATATCAGGGTGACCATTCACAAGAGCCATGGTGGCGCAGTGGTTCGAATGCAGTACTGCAGGCTACTTCTGCTGCCTGCAATTTGGCAGTTCGAGGCTCAAGGTCGACTCAGCCTTCCATCCTTCTGAGGTGGGTAAAATGAGGACCCAGATTGTTGGGGGCAAGAGGCTGACTCTGCAAACAACTTAGAGAGGACTGGAAAGCACTGTGAAGCAGTAAATAAGTGCTATTGCTATTGCAGGCTGATTCGGCCAACTGCCAGAAGCTCGATGCCTGCTGGGGTTTCACAGGGGTTCGGAAGAGCCCCTAGTTAAGATTCTGTGCAGTTTCGAAACCCCCAAATCCCACTCCTGGCTGCCCACCCCACCCCGCCTCTCCCAGGAGTCCCCACGTGGCCCATTTTGGATGCAGGCAAGTGCAGGGCGCATGTGGAGGATCGGGGGGGGGGGGGGGGGCAAAAAACAGGCCTCCTGGAAGTTTGGGAAGGCTGGACATGGGCCTGTTTCCAGTTTCCAGTGAGCCTCCAGAGCCCGAGGAGGCCGTTTTCACCCTCCTGGAGGCTCGAGGAAAGCCTCCGGAGCCCGGGGAGGCCATTTTCAACCTCCTGGAGACTTGAGGAAAGCCTCCGGAGCCCAGGGAGGCCGTTTTCACCCTCCTGGAGGCTCAAGGAAAGCCTCTGGAGCCCGGGGAAGGCAAAACACACCCCCTCCCCGCCTTGGTGCAGAAAGCCGACTAGGCCACGCCCACCATGGCCATGCCCACAAAGCAACCAGGCAGAAAACCTTTTGCTAAAAAAAAATTTAAGCTCACCCCTGGCTCTCAACCCAGGAAGCCGCGAAGACCTCACCCAGAAAGAAAGGAGAACCGCCTACTCACCTATTTGGTTTTTCACCGCTTTTCCCTTTGCCACTTCTTTTGCTGCTTCGCCGTGAGAGCGAGTCAAGAGGATGCCACCTTCTGGATCCATATCACGATCGGCCATTTTCTCCTCCCTCTCCTGTGAGTCACTTTCACCTTCGTAGTCTTCTCCTTCCTGTTCTTCTTCTTCTTCTTCTTCCTCGCTCCCAAGCTCATCCATCCCTTCAGCAAACTTCTCAAAATCGTCAATGGCCTGGAAACTGAAGGCTGCTTTTTTCAGCTGGTTGGACAGCTTTGTCTCTTCTTCAGCATCACTGGCTGCCTCCTCCTCTTCCTCTTCCTCTTCCTCCTCTGTTTCTGGACTCTCATCTTCAGCCAGAGTTTCACTGTCAAAATCACCTTCACCTGTCTCTTCATCTGATGTTTCTTCATCTACCAATAAGAAAACACAATGGTGAAGATTGGTGGAAGATACCTACAAGGTAATTTTTGACCGAGAATATAATTTTTAAGAAGCCGGAAAGTAACAAATGAGAATCTTTTCTTGTTTATTTTGGGGGCAATAACCTACACATGAGATGCAGGATGAATCAGCTTCCCAATTATCTAATCTCCAAAGAGATTAGATGCATTTTATAAAGATTCTAGTGACGCCAATAGGATTTTTTCCCCCCAATTGTAACATTTGACGTGTTAAGTGAATAAATGAGTACACACTTGTACGGGTAGTCCTCGACTTATGACCACAATTGAGCCCAAAATTTATGTTGCTATGTGTTGTGGCTGATGGAGCTGGCAGCAGAGTTGGACGGTGAGGAGGTTGGGGTGCAAAACAGTCATACAGTTAAGTCCCTTTTTTCCAGTGCTGTTGTAACTTTGAATGGTCATTAAATGTACTGTTGTAAGTCAAGGACTACCTGTATATTAAAAACGCAGAAAAGGGACTGGTTTCTGAATCCAGGAAGGCTACTATAAGGAAATATGCTTTTGGTGAAAAAGGTTTAGCACCACCACCTTTTCAGAAGTCAAGGATATACACAGATATACAAAGAGTATATACACAGAACACACAAGTATTTTACACCACAACTCCAGGATCATATGCAACTAAAGATACCAACAGCTGGTGTTCCCCAGATGAAATCTACTAGCTAATTCTTGCCTGCACAGCTCACTTTCTTTTTAAATTGCCCTAACCCCCACCTCAAAATCTATAGGAGTTTCTTCCCTTACACTGTCAACAACCAATGGAAATTTCAATAGACCTAATTAATCTTGCAACTCAATACCACCCGAAAATTTTGAGCTATAAAAGTTGTAGAAATTATACGTACATTCCACACCTCTTCCCAAAAGCATCGCTTCTTACATTTTCCACATTACGAGGTAACGTAGTATACCACCCTCAGGGTTTTTGACCCAAAGGGACCACTGGAAAGTCTCCAGCAGATTAAAATCTCAGACTCACACTTATCCACAGCCGGCGCTGAACTGATTATCAGACCCATTGATTAGCTGACAGCCTTTCCCATTAAATAATGAGATAATGGGTGAGCATTACAAGGTGATCACGTTCCCTTACCCACGTCTTCATAAGGAGAGTAGGAGAAGGTATTGTACATGAGAAAGATAATTCCTGCGAGATCCATTCCCCTGTCAAATCATGTCTGACCGAAAGGGGGCGGTGTTCATCTCCGTTTCTTAGTCAAAGGAGCCAGCGTCGTCCAGAGATGGTCATATGGCCAGCATGGCTATAAAGCCAAAGGTGGACAAAAACACTGTTACTTTCCCATCAAAGTGGTACCTATTTATCTACTCCCACTTTCATCCTTTCAAACTGGAGCTGAAGCAAGGACAGGAGCTCAACCCCATCGTGTGGCACTTGGGTCTCGAACCCAGGCTGTCAGCTTTCCAGGTGACAAGCTCAGCGTCTTTACTCACTGAGCCATCATGCCGAGGAATGTACCAATCTTAGTTCAACACCTATGTTCTTCTGCTAGTCTCCAAACTACCTCAAGGTGTCCATGGATACCATGTGGCAATTAAAATACCCAAGGACTGGGCTGAAAAGAAGGACCAGCTCACAAAGTCCTTGACTTATGGCCGGTCTCTCAGCAACCATTCAAATTACAGTGGATCTCCCTGGGAGTACTTACAATCCAGTTCCAAACTTTCAACAGGCACTACTTGTCAACCAGCCCGCATTATGCCAGTTTATAGTGCCCTGCAGTCAATTTTACAACGGCTTTACCAAAACCTGGCATTTATTTTTGGTTTTTAGCAAAATCAGCCCATAGCCAACCCACTTAATGCCTACTTAATGACTGCCACATTCCCTTAATGACTACCACAAAAAAAGGATATAAAATCAGGTTGCTCACAAGGCTAATCCACTTTATGACCAACGACTGAAGACCTTAAAGGGCAGGCTCCATTAAAGTTGTAACTTGAGGACTACTTGTAATTTCTAAGGAAAATCAGTGCAGGTAGCCCTTAACTTATGACCGCAATTGAGCCCAAAATTTATGTGGCTAAGTGACAAATTTGTTAAGTGAGTCTTGTCCCCTTTTACTTAACATTTATTAAGTGAATCACTGCAGTTATTAAGTGAGTGATGTGATTGTTAGGTGAACCTGGCTTCCCCGTTGACTTTCCTGGTTAGAAAGCTAGAAAAGGTGATCCCGTAACCCTGGGACACCGCACCCGTCATAAACATGAGTCAGTTGTCAAGCACCCGAATGTACATCATGCGACCACGGGGATGCTGCAACAGTCATAAGTGTGGGGGAAAAAATGGTCATAAGTTGTTTTTTACAGTGCAGTTGTCATTTTGAATGGTCACTAAATGAACCGTTGTTAATCGAGGACTATCTGTATAGACTCGATTTAAATTTTGATTTTTTAACGCGTAAACGTCTGGCAGGGCACCAGTCATGAATAAATCTATCCTCTGACAAAGATAGAAAACTTATGTAATTTGTATTCCAGACTGCCGGCGTGGTGTGACTGATCAAAGGACGGGCCAAGGGAAGAGATTCTCTCTGCTATTGCTTCACATCATAACATGGTCAATTTATGTCAATAAGAAACAGGCCTCTGTTATCCTTATTATTATTTAAAGTGTTTGCATACCATCCGTTATGCAACAGATATTACAACATCGGAGGAATAACTCAAATATATCATAAAAGTCATGCCATTAATAAAATGAGGCAGCAACGGAAAGGCGTGCGGCAAGTGAAGGCATTTTTCAAATTAAAGAGCCTGGGAAGGTAAACACAGTTTTAAACCTGAATATTTAAAGAGAGAACCGTAATGAAGACCACTAAGACAATTTCCTGCCTTGCTTTAAACACAACAGAGCAACGAGCGATCGTTTCACCTGGCCCCACCTTTCATAACAATCCGGAACAAACTTCACCTCTGAAAGAACTGATGCCAGATGCCAGCCAGCTGGATATAAATGGGGGGACACCTCCTGCTCCCTATCTGAACCCCCACACACAGCATCCAGAGGTCAAGCGCTGCCAAATCTGGCAGATCTTACTCGCAGATCTCCAAAAGCGGACAGAATAAATTTCATCCCAGCAGATGCCAGCCAACAATGCCACCGATCATACGCTCACGTTGGCATTCATCTCTCCAGGTCTCAAGAGGAAAATTCCCAGTCTGATCAACTGAACTCCTCTTAATAGGAGCTGCTGGCAGGTGTACCCAGGCCACTGACGTAGGAATAGTTTGTTACAGGTAGTCCACGATTTACTTACAAAGGGCTTGTTTAGTGACCATTCGAAGTTACAATGGCACTGAAAAAAGTGATTTGACTGTTTTTCACGCTTACAACCTTTGCAGCATCCCCAGGGTCACGTGATCAAAATGCAGATGCTTGGCAACCAATTCATATTTATGACCGCTGCACTGTCCCAAGGTCATGGGCTCAATTTTTCATCAGTTAGAGTCTCACTGACTCAAGGTTGACTCAGCCTTCCGTGGTCAGTAAAATGAGGAGCCAGATTGTTGGGGGATGATATGCTGACTCAGTAAACTGCTTAGAGAGGGCTGCAGAAGCACTACAAAGCGGTATATAAGTCTAAGGGCTTTTGTTAAACTCAACAGGGGAGCCAGATTCACTTAACAACCGTCTTACTGATTTAGTAACTGCGTTGACTCGCCTCACAAATGTGTTAGAAAAGGCTACAAAATGGGGCAAAACTCACTTAACTACTCTCTAGCTTAGCAACAGAAACTTTGGGATCCATTGGGTCGTAAGTCGAGGATGAGCCGCAGTGGTTAGAGTGCAGTACTGCAGGCTACTTCTGCTGATTGCAAGCAGTTCAAATCTCACCAGGCTCAAGGTTGATTCAGCCTCTTCCATCCTTCCAAGGTCGGTAAAATGAGGACCCAGAGTGTTGGGGGCAAGAGGCTGACTCTGTAAACCACTGAGAGAGGGCTGTAAAAGCACTGTGAAGCGGCCTATAAGTCTAAGTCCTATTGCTATAGCCTGTACTTCATTCTACCTAGGAAAGCAATTTTTTAAACATGAGCCGAGCCATTAGGTCAAATCTCTTTCAGCCCTGAATTGAGACCATCCTTTACTTACGATGCAGCACCTCCTGGGTGTGGAATATAGCATTTGGGAGAATTTTTTTTCCCCTCTCAGCCTTTGTAGAGTAAGAAAGACGACTTTGACAGAGGTACTCAAGATCTGTTGCCAAGGCAAAAAGGAGCTGAAGCATTTTTTACATACAGAAGAACCAGATATTCAGAAGTAGCTTGGGAAATTAGATAGTCCTCGAGCTACAATCATTTGTTTAGTCACCGTCTGAAGTTACAGCACCACTGAAAAAAAAGATTTACGATCATTTTTCATATTCACGATTGCTGCAGCATCCTCATTGTCGTATGTCGTATCAAAATTCAGCAGGAGGCAAATGGCATATAGTTAGGATTTGCAGATCCCAAATCTTCTGAGTATTTTGCATAGAACATTCTGCATAAGAATGGAGTCTTGGTGATCACGTGACTCCTGCACAAGACACTCTGAATAAGAAAGTCCTACGCAGGGATCATGCGATCACCATTTGTAACCTTCTCAGACAACAGCAAAGTGAATGGGGGAAGCCAGATTTGCTTAACAACCGCACGGTTCACTTCGTAATTGTGGCAAAAGGGGTCATAAAGTGTGGCAAAACTCACTTAACAATTGCCTTGCTTAATAACAGACATTTTGAGCTCAAATATGGTTGTAAATTGAGGACTACCTGTAGAGCAATTTCCAGCTACAACCAATCGATCAGAGTGCCTCTCCCTCACCAGCAAGGATATAAAAGCACACCCAAGAAAACATTTTAACTAACTTTCTAAAAGCAATAATAAGCTAAAGTTGCTTTAGCTATTTTGATTTTTCCAGAAGAAGAAGAAGAAGAGGAGGAGGAGGAGGAGGAGGAGGAATAATAATAATAATAATAATAATAATAATAATAATAATAATAATAA